ACAGGTCTACCTACCTGTATTCTGATGCTTTATAAGGCGTGCTTGATAGAAAGCTTGCAGTAACATCCAGATAATGGTATGCTTATCTTTGTTTTCTGCAGCTACATTAATCATATCACCCAAGTATGACAATGGCAGACGTCCCTGAGAGATTAGATTTAATCGCACAAATGTGGCTTTCCTAATGTTCTCCTGGTCATCAAAAACAGAAGTTGAAAAAAAGGCAGGAAAAAATGTTAATTGGAGTAATTTTAGCAAAAGAATTCACTGCATTTCAATATGGACAGACTCGCTCTGGAAGCTTAGAATGACACTTTACCTGGGAAATGCAGATTATTCGATCAATTTCACTGTCAGCCATCTCTGAGATGCATTTTGTAACTTCAATATACAGATCCATGTTTGTTTCCTACATCCACAAAAAAAAAAAAAATGAATACATCAGAATTGCCATTATACAGGAGCAAATCAGGGGAATGCATAAAGAGTGTCTAAAACACTCTTTATAATTGTGACGGACTTGTTGTAGAGTCAGGCACTTTGTCTGTTTCTGTACACCAACTTAGAGAAGGTCTTAATTACTTCCAGTTTCATTATCTCCAAACTGGAGGCAATAATTTTTTAACTTGCTGCATTAATAGCATCACCTTGCAAAAGCTGGGGCTATTAAGAATGCCCTGAATCTGCCAAATGTCAGTAAACTTACTGAAGCAAGCAGCAGGGATTTTTGAATCTGCCACAGGCTATTTCTCTAGGGGCCATAGCGCCAGAAACGTGTTGGTAGGGATTTATTGAATTCCCCTAAATGATTTGTGAGGTTTATTAAAAGGGAATCTTTCATTTAAAAAATCAGCTAAAATTACATTTGAGAGAAGTCTCATATGAATGCTCTTTAACTACTTAATGACCAGTGACATACCAGTACGTCACTATATAATGTTTTGGGGTTCTAAGTAATTTTCTATTAAAAAATACTGATTTTTACATGTAAACAAAAAGTGTCCGAAAAGACTTGCTCTTAAAATGGCTAAACCTGGCCATACACGGATCAAAAAAAAATGGCCAAATTTTGATCCATGTATGGCCGTTCCTGTTTCAGAGGAGTTGATCTAGTGATCTAGACCTTAAAGAAGTCTGTCAAACAGTGCTTGCAGACAAATGGCTGGAGTGCTGATCAATGTATTCTGCCAGGATACAATAGCTCAGTGGGGGGATTCCCCCATCCACCTTGTGTGTGGATGGGGGAATCGGTTTGTTCTTTTTTTGATCAGTTGGCTAGTCAAAAAAAAAAATTCCATCTATGGACAGCTTAACTTCCGAGCTGCCTACTAGTTCTAGGCTACAACTTGCAGTGAAGCTAATTAAATGCATCTATATTTTCCTGGAACTATTGTTACAACACTCATTTAATAGATTTCAGTTGTGGCTTCTAAGCAGATTCCCTTAAAAAAAAGAAGAAAAAAATCGGGTCTACAAAATGTCAAAGGGAATCATGCATTGTCTTTGTAAATCACACTACTGGAATCTGCACTATGCTGAGGAAGAAAGTTATTATTATACAGGATTTATATAGCGCCAACAGTTTGTGCAGCGCTTTACAATGTAAGGGCAAACAGTACAGTTACAATACAATTGAATACAGGTGGAATCAGAGGGCCCTGCTTGTTAGAGCTTACATTCTAAAAGGGTGAGGATCAAGTGATACAAAAGGAAATAACTGTGGGCGATGAGCCAACGGACAAAAATACATTTACTGTTGTTAGGTGGAGGCAGGATAGGCTTCCCTGAAGAGAAAAGTTTTCAAGGATCGCCTAAACGTGGACAGAGTAGGAGATTGTTGGACAGATTGGGGTAGGTAATTCCATAGGATGGGAGAGGCTTGGGAGAAGCCCTGCAGGAGAGCATGGGAGGAAGTGACATGGAAACTAGAGAGCAGGAGGTCTTGGGAGGAATGAAGAGTGTGATTTGGTTGGTATTTTGAGACTAGGTTAGTGATGTAGGTAGGGGCCGAGTTGCGGATGGCGTGTAATTTGTTGTTAGTATTTTGAATTTAGTTCGTTGGGTGAGTGGCAGCCAATGCAGATGATGGCAAAGAGGGGTAGCAGACACTGAACAGTTGGTAAGGTGGATGGGTCTGGCAGCAGCCTTCATGATGGACTGGAGTGGGGATAGCCTATGTAAAGGTAAGCCAATGAGGAGGGAGTTGCAGTAGTCAAGGCGAGAGATAACCTGGGAGTGAATTAGGAGCTTTGTGGTGTCACTGGTTGGGAAGGGGTGTATTTTGGAGATGTTGCGAAGGTTGAGACGGAAAGCTTTGGCAAGTGACTGGATGTGGGGTCACAAGGAAAGTTCAGGATTACACCTAGCACCCTGGCATGCGGGGATGGGTTTATGGTTGTGACATTGATCTTGACAGAGAAGTCAGGGGAAGGGGCACATGAGGGAGGAAATATTATGAGCTTAGTTTTGGATAGATTGTGATTGAGGAAATGCTGTGACATCCAGGCTGATATGTTGGTCAGTAAGTAGGTGATACGTGAGGACACTGTTGGTGTGAGCTGAGGGGTTGACAGATAGATTTGTCTTCAGCGTAGAAATGATATTGAAAGCCATGGGAGGCTATCAGCTGACCCAGGGAGGAGGTGTAGATTGAGAATAGGAGAGGTCCAAGAACAGAACCTTGGGGGACCCCAACGGAAAAAGGAAGAGGAGAGTAGGAAGTAGAATTGGAAGTGATACGGAAGGTGCGGTGGGATAGGTAGAATGAGAACCAACGAAGAGCACAGTCACGGATACCAAGGAAGTAAAGTTTTTTTTGAGGAGGAAGGGGTGGTCAACTGTATCAAAAGGCAGCTGAGAGGTCCAGAAGCAGGAGTACAGAATAGTGTCCATTGGTTTTTGCTGTTAGTAAATCATTTGGGAGTTTTAGGAGAGCAGTTCCTGTGGTGTGTTGAGGGCGAAACCCAGACTGAAGGGGATCAAGAAGGTTTTTCTTGATGAGGTGGCCGCTCAGTTGGTTATAGACCAGGCGTTAAAGGAGTTTGGAGGAAAAGGGGAGCAAGGAGATGGGGCGTAGGTTTTTAAGATTGTTGGGGTCCAAGGAAGACTTTTTAAGTATGAGGGGACTAGTGCATGTTTTAGAGTGTTGGGAAAGGTGCCAGAAGAGAGGGAGAGAATGAAGATGTGAGTTAGAGAGTGCAGGATAGAGCCAGATGGTGACTGCAGTATTTGAGAGGTAATAGGGTCCAGGGGACAGGTAGGTGCACATTAGAAAGATGTTTAGCAACCTTGTCTGTAGTAGCAGGGTTGAATAAAGTTACTGCTGAGTGTATTCAACAGTTAATAATAATAATAATAATAATAATAATAACAGTTGCTACCATTGTTAGAAGTAAACTTACACATTGATTTTTTTTTTAGGATAACAAAACTTGCTTCTGCTTCTGAGTCCTCTGTATATTACCAAAAAGGAAATTCTAACCTCCCACGCCTCTCCTTTTGGCTCAAAGCATGATCAGCAACATTATATCTGTAGTGCTACCTTATATTTGTATATAATGACACTTTTGCTTGCAAGGAGGGCTCAGACAATACAAAATATTTTATTACTTAAAGATTCAGGGGTTAAATCGTCCCTAATCCTGAAAAGACAGTTAATATCCTCCACTATCCTGGAAAATGCCTTTCTCACAGGTGGAAATAACAATCAATATCCTTCCTTTGAAATTCATGCACTTCAAGGGTTGAACTTATATTTTTGCATTTACAGTTGTACTTCGGTTTACAAATGCCTCGGTTAACGTAATTTTCGGTTTTCAAATAAAAATCCATTGAAAATAATGCCTCGGTTTCTGAATTTTCTTTCGCAATACGAAATGTATGTTGGTGCCGATTTTTAAATGCAATTGCCGGCTTTTGTTTTCTTCACTATGGCTCACAGAATTAGCTGTCACTTTCCCTGGAGTTAACGTTTCTTTTAAGAAACTAAAAGGAAACATTGTTTCTTTTAGCTGGGGGGAAAGTGACAGCTGAATTTCTGAGCTATAGTAAAGAGAAAAAAAAAAGCTGTAATTACATTTAAAAACCGGCGCCATAATAAATAAAAAAACGACGTGGGGTCCCCCCTCCCATCCATACCAAGCCCTTCGAGTCTGGTATGGATTTTGAGGGGAACTCCCACGCCAAACTTTAAAAAAAAAAAAATGGCGTGGGGGTCCCCCCCAAAATCCATACTGGTCCCTTATCCGAGCATGCAGCTCTGCAGGTCAGGAAAGGGGGGGGCTCCCCCCCCAAGCACCTTTTTCCCATGTTGATGGGGACAAGGGCCTCTTCCCCACAACCATGGCTGGTGGTTGTGGGGGTCTGCGGGCAAGGAGAAGAGGCCCTTGTCCCCATCAACATAGAGACAAGGTGGGACATGGAGGGGTGTCCGCAACATGGAGCACCAATCCATGTTGAGGGCATGAGGCTTGGTATGGTTCAGTAGAAGCAGTAGAAGGGAAGGGGGGGGTTGGCATTCGCTCGTTCCCCCTCCCTTTCCTGATCTGCTGGGCTGCATGCTCGGATAAGGGTCTGGTATGGGTTTTGGGAGGGACCCCCACTCCATTTTTTAAAACATTTTGTCATGGGAGTTCCCCTCAAAACCCATACCAGACCCGTTTTTTAAATTATTTTTTTAATTGCCGGCATTTCTTTTACATTCAGCTGTCAATGGGGAACCCTGCTGACAGCTGAAACATTAACACATGGTTGTTACTATTAAATACCGCATGATTTGATAAAATAACTCATGCAGTATTTTAGTAGTGTTTACTTTTTTTTGACCTCCGGAATGGATTTATAGGTTTTCAATGCATTCCTATGAGAAACAGCATTTCGGTTTATGAATTTTTCGCTATATGAAAAGTCCCACAGAACGAATTAAATTCGTAAACCGAGGTATGCCTGTAGTTGGTTTATAAAGCTAAAAGCAACTGGAATATAAATGCTCCAAATAAAGCTGTGTGTACCTGGATGACATCTGGTAACAGCTGAAATATCCTCTCCGTGGTTTTGCACAGAAAACTCCAGCAACCCTGAGAAGGGTTGGGCAGCTTCATAGCCTGGCTCAGGCCCAGCAGAATATTCTTGGACATTTCTACTTTGTAGGACTTTTTCTGTGCCTCAAACTGTGCAATCATGAATACATCTGCAAAGGTCTGTAGTTTATCTTCAGAGACATGCTTCATCCACAGAGATAGTGAGGAAAGCAGATATGAACAGGTTTGCATCTATAATACAAAAAAAACAAACAAACAAAAACAAAACACATCCCACATTATAAACACAAACATTAATTCAAGCTCAACAGTATTTCTATTAGACTGCACTATTTACTAGTTTTTAAGAATGAAAATTATGTTTTCAATTCACTAAATGTTTTATTACACAGAGTAGTTGAGTTTGTAATCAACTGTAATGTCTGCCTTCATTTTGTAAAGCACTGTGCAAACTGTTGGTGCTATATAAATTCTGTATTAAAATACTACTACTAATAATAATAATAGTAATCTAATTTTATATATAATGGGATTTGCCCAACCCCTAAATATCCAAGCTCCTCTCCAATGCAAACCTGACAACCAGTGTGAATAGTGGTTGACATACAAGTTATGGTTTCTCATTGGGGAAATATATGTGATTTTCATCATCCCTGCATCTCGGGGTTGTGTTTTTTCCCTTTGGCACTGCAGATAATAAACCTGCTAATGTACAGCACCACTAGTAGAAGAAGAAAGAGACACTTGTTTACAGGGAATCAAGGGATGCCAGGTTCTCTCTATTTTTGTGTTCATTGCACTGAGTTGGCTGCAGTAACATACTGAGCAGGAGAAGAAGCCCCACAGATGGGCTTATCCATGATGCTCAGTGGGTATTGTGCGAAGATGGACACCACCAGAGTGAAGTGTGCCAGTGTGCAATGCCTTCCAATGAAAATCTAGAGGCACCGAGTGGGGAGGTAAATGGGAATAACATGACCAAGCAGCACAGTTTTCAATGAAGCACCAGAGGCAGAAGCAAACCTCAAGCAGTGTATATACCTGAAACAGACTTGTTATCATCCTTGTAGTCTACTGTATAATCTGTACAGCAGAACTCAGATACTAATAAATAAAAAGCAGAGTGACAGAGAGAGGAGTACACCAGCGTAGTTTCTTTTCTCACTGTTCATTCATAGGATGGACACAAAAGATAATTTCTCCGCTCCTGCAAGACAGGGCTGTGCTGTGGTGGGGGAGCTGAGTAAATCTCAGAACTGGATTAACAGAAGTACAAATCCTTTGCCATGTAAAACATCTCTCATATATGTACTTCTTCTGTGTATTTAGTGGTTTATCTGGAGTTTATCTTTAAATTAGAATATCAATCTGAACCCTACCCATGGGACTTTAAATAGCAAATGTATTAATGCCCTACATACATATCTCATAACAATTATATACAATGAAATATTGAGCTGATTAATAAAATGTATATAATATACCCATATAAAATAATCATGTTATAAATTCATTTATAAGAACATAGATACATGGGGTATCAAAACTGTGGCCAGTGGGACGGATGTGGCCCTTTGCTTGCTTTTATCTGGCCCTTGGGGCACTTTTCCTTCCACTAATACGAAGCACTATTCCTTCCATTGACACCAATGATGGGCACTATTCTTCCCACTGACACCAATGATGGGACACTATTCCTCCCACTGACACCAACAATTGGGCGCTATTCCTCCCACTGACACCAGCAATTGGGCGCTATTCCTCCCACTGACACCAATGATGGGGCACTGTTCCTCCCACCGACCCAAACAATGTGGCACTGTTCCTCCCACTGACCCCAACAAGGGGGTACTTTTCCTTCCACTGATACGAAGCACTATTCATTCTATTGATACCAATGATGAGCACTATTCTTCCCAGTGACACCAACAATGGGGCACTGTTCCTCCCACTGACACCAACAATTGGGCGCTATTCCTCCCACTGACACCAGCGATGGGGCACTGTTCCTCCTACTGGCCACCAAGCCTAGGGTATTGTTTACTCCCATTGATGCCAGGGCATTTTTTTTTTTACTCGCACTAGCCACAATCCAGCCCCCATAAAATTTGAAGGGCAGTAAACTGGCCCTTTGTTTCAAAAGTTTGGAGACCCCTGTTATAGTAGATAGTATTCCAAAACTCGACACATTTCGCAGATCTCTGTCCACTTCCTAGGAATAAATGGGAAATGTAAAAAAAAGAAAAGATAAAGTAATAGCAAAATAACAATACAACATGACTATAATAAGGAACTTGCCATATCTATCTGATAGACTTTCTACTTACAATCAGCTCTAATTGCAACGTGACAAAGCTGGAAGTCATAGGACCCTAGGGATGTTTACCCCAGGAGCTGTAGCAAAATACCCGTGAAGACCAAAGGGACAAACAAGGGCATATCAAATAATGTAGGGATAGCTCCAAATGTAATCCATATTGCTGCTCACAGTAGATAACAGTGGAATCTATAAAAATATTGGTGTGCATTACCTAATTGAATATACCTATCAAAATTTCATATAGTTGGTGTATAATGTAAAAGTAAAAAAAAGAGGGGAAAAGGAATTAAGTGATATTCTTATATAGCTGTAGACTTGCACCCAAATGACAAAAAGGAAAAGGGGTTAAAGGAAAGGGGAAAAAAATATAATGTAACAGATCCCAAAAATATACACACTTAAGCTATAAATCCAGTGTAATCCACGATGTCCCATTAAAGAGAGAAAGGAAAAAAAAACATAATCCATATGCCACTGGCCTATAACCCCAAGGTAATTTCACGGGGTCCCAACTAGTGCCATGCTGATTCTGCCAGAGGAGGAGAGACATTCACACCCAGGCAGTGGGTACCATCCAAGAAAGATGGTATGGAAAACACACTATCTCACTTGGCGGCAGATGATATTGAATGATGCAACGACATCATGAACCCCGATGTCACACACAGAGCGCGAAGCATTGTACCGAAGCATCAGGAGAGAAGCCCCCCCAGCCTTCAGCAAACGGCAGGGGCAGCAGGGAAGATAGCCACTCCCGGCGTGCATCGCAGCTCCCAGGTAAAGAAGAACCCCAGCAAGTCAAAGAGCTCCAGACCTGTCACTTAAAAACAAAACAAAAGGTGTAACTCATCAGGTGTATATTATAGAGCCTAGTCTTCATCAATAACACTACATCTACCAACAAAGTATATATGGTGCGACAGACCACCATTAGGTTGGTATCTTCAACCATATAAAAAAAATTGCGGCCTGGAACAAAATAGATGTGTGCCACCATCCCTAAATACATGCATAATTATATCCTAAACCATGGGACTTTAAATGAAGACCATGACAAAGTCACGAGCCTCCATTCCTAAATATATATCAATCTGAACCCTACCCATGGGACTTAAAATGAAGCACACCAATAGATGATTGATAATCCATACATACATATCCATAGCAAATGTATTATTGCCCTACATACATATCTCATAACAATTAAATACAATAACATTTTGAGCTGATATATAAAGTTTATACATTATGTATTTAAATTTGAATATTTTAGTCAATGTGCACAATAATATCACTGTAATACTGGATCATATCATGTCAAAGAGTGAACAGAAAAGACAAACTCACAGTAAGACTGTAAACTAAGGGTGGAACCAGCCACATTCCAAGGAGCACAGCTGCATTCTGGGAAGACTGGGCCTGAGTCACTGCTATCTGCACACATAGTTTCTGGATTTCTTCACCTGTTAGAAAATACCATTAAAAAAACTCAGTAAACCAGTCAAAAATCAGCAACAAAGGCACTATGTAAGAAAAAAAAATTGTGACAGATGTTTGCACAAAATACATTTTAATAAAAGTAACAATACTAAGCATATCTAACTAATAATGTACAAGTCTACAGATTTTTTAAGTTTTTAGCTTCACAATTATCACACTGTCCACTGGTCTCATGAAACTATAAATTAGTGCCACAGATATGGAACCCACATTGAGGTAAAACAGCGATGTACTGCTAGTATGGCCCAATGTGTCTGTGAACAGTATTTTTATTTGCAGACATCCTTCAAAGGTAGGAACTTCGTCAAACAGCTTATTTATGTATACCTGCTTGGCACAGTGAAGCCTTTTCAGAACAGAAAGTATTCACATTCATCTCTTTACATCCCTTATCCCAAAAAAATAAGAGTGTTATTCCACATCTTAGTTTTTAAAATAGTTGTAAAGTCTCAAGGTTTTTTACCTTCATATATTCTATGCATGAAGATAAAAACCTTCTGTCTGCAACAGCCCCCCTAATACTTACCCAAGCCCCACCGTGATCCAGTGCTGTGCACAAGAGCCAGGTTCTCTGGGGCCACTCCCTCCTCTTTGGCTGAGACAGCAGTGGGAGCTATTGCCTCCCGCTACTGCCAATCACAGCCAGTGGACCAATGAGGAGAGGGTGGGGGAGCCATGACCCTATGTGTGAATGGACACACAGAGTAGCAGCTTGGGGCAGTTGGCAGGGAGGGAAGGGCCAGGAGTGTTGGCAGGGGACCCGACAAGAGGAGGATTGGGGTTGCTGGTAGAACAGAAAAAAAAAATACTCATGTATGAGCTGCCTAAGTCATTCTCAAAGCATTGTGTACAAGTTAAGAGATTGTGTGTCATCTTCTTCAAAAGGAAGTATACTGAGGTACAATATACTGTAGAAGACTAAGTGAGACTCTACGAATATCTGAAGCAAGGACTGTCCATACTGCCAACATCACTCAATCAGGTATAAGGTATTTCATTTTTTTAAATCAAAACACTGGATGCTTAGTTAATGTGGATTACTTAGGGTAATACGGACAATATTCTATCAGAAATGTTATATCTGTAAATTGAAATTTACCAAAATTGAGCCTCATTAGTGGAGCAAGAATGGATGCCCAGTTGATAGGAGGATACTGATATCCATCAGCTGTAGCAGCGAGAGAAGACATGCACACCTTGACCAGAGAAGTAGGGATCAGTTCAGGACCTACAATGAATGATACACAAACATAGTGACATAACATACCAAAGCATTTGACTTCTTATTTGAAAACAGTCAGAGAAAGCAGTGTGACAGAGAGACATTACTGCGCTGCTTCTCATTGCACTGTCCAGTCACAGGCTGGGGCAATTCCAGTATGACCGTCACTCAGAAAAAGTGGGATGAATGGCAATGGTCATCAGACTGAGGGAATCTAGGGTAGGAAAAAAAGTACTGTAGTGGGAAATTTTCTGGATTGTAGGTGGACTACTGCAGCAAAAGTTAGTTATGTTCTTTTACCATTTTTAGGTTATTGCTGGCTGGAGTTCTGCTTTAAGTTAGAGACACTGTACATTGCTAATGAAGTACACTGTTCTTCTCAGGAAGCCTGTGTGCCTGGAACTTTTTGATAAGTTAGCATAGAAACCTTGCTAAACAGCATACAAATATTTATGACCCCCTGCACCAATTTTTTTAACAGTAAGCTACCATAAGATACAATAGAGATTGCTTTTGCAAAGGACTGATTGACGCATTACACTATGGTAATTTATTTACTAGCTTAACACCTTAAATTAAGATCTTCACCACTGGAAATGTTTTTATGACTTCATTTAAATTTACTTATGGCATCTACTGACATTACGGTGACAATCATGACTAAGAATTCATTATACTGTCCACTAAATTTACTATGAAAAGCAACCTACTGATCTTACAGTTAGAGGCACTAGTAAATGATCATTACTTAGCTTTCACTTAAACTAATAGGCACAACAAATACTAAAGCTTATACTATGCAGGCCGATTGCCTATATCTGTAACAGATTTTACACCTACATCTTGGAGGTATAGAATTTGTTGTGTGCGTGCTCCATGACCATATTAAACAGGAAAAAAATAGATGAATGCAAGTTCTTGTGGGGCTCTCCTATGATCACATCTTCCATCCTAGAATTTTGTTACCTGAGCCAGCACACAAGCTGATTATTGAAAAAGAAGGGAAAGAAAGAAAGAAGAAGAAAGAAAGTAAAGGGAAAGGAAAAAAGAAAGGAAAGAAAAAAAAAGAAAGAAAGTAAAGGAAAAGGAAAGAAAAAAAAAAGTAAAGGAAAAGGAAAGAAAAAAAGAAAGAAAGAAAAGGAAAGAAAAAAAGAAAGAAAAGGAAAGAAAAAAAGAAAGAAAGAAAGAAAAGGAAAGAAAGAAAAGGAAAGAAAAAAAAAAAAAAGTAAAGAAAAGGAAGAAGAAAAAAAGAAAGAAAAGGAGAAAAGGAAAAAAAAAGAAAGAAAGAAAAAAAGAAAGAAAAGGAAAGAAAAAAAAGAAAGAAAAGGAAAAGGAAAGAAAAAAAAGAAAGAAAAGGAAAGAAAAAAGAAAGAAAGGAAGAAAGAAAAGGTAAAAGGAAAGAAAAAAAGAAAGAAAGAAAAGGAAAGGAAAGAAAAAGAAAGAAAGAAAAGGAAAGAAAAAAGAAAGAAAGAAAAGGAAGAAAGGAAAGAAAAAAAGAAAGAAAAGGAAAGAAAAGGAAAAGGAAAAAAAAAGAAGAAAGAAAGAAGAAAAAGGAAAGAGAGAAGGAAAAGAGAGAAAGAGAGAAAGAAAGAAGAGAAAGAGAGAAAGAAAAGATAAGAAAGAAAGAGAAAGAAAGAAAGAAAACAGAGAAAGAAAGAGAGAAAGAAAAGAAGAAAAGAAGAAAAAAAGAGAAAGAAAGAAAAGGAAAGAGAGAAAGAAAGAAAGAGAGAGAGAAAGAAAGGAAAGGAAAGGAAAGGGAAAAGGGGAAGGAAGGAAGAAGGAGAAAGAAAAGAAAGAGGGAAAGAAAGAAAAGGAAAGAAAAAGAAAAGTAAAGGAAAAGGAAAGAAAAAAAAGAAAGAAAAGGAAAAGGAAAGAAAAAAAAGAAAGAAAGAAAAAAAGAAAGAAAAGGAAAGAAAAAAAGAAAGAAAAAAAGAAAGAAAAGGAAAGAAAGAAAGAGGAAAGGAAAAGGAAAGAAAAAAAGAAAGAAAGAAAAGGAAAAGGAAAGAAAAAGAGAGAGAAGAAAGAAGATAAGGGAAAGAAAAGAAAGAAGAAAGAAAAGGAAAAGGAAAGAAAAAAGAAAGAAAGAAAGGAAAGAGAGAAAAGAGAAAAGAAAGAGAGAAAGAGGGAAGATAAAGAGAGAAAGAAAAGAAAGAGAGAAAAGAAAGAAAAAGGAAAGAAAAAAGAAAGAAAGAAGGAAGGAGAGAAAGAAAAAAAGATAAGAAAGAAGAGAAAGAAAGAAAGAAAGAAAAGAGAGAAAGAAAGAAAAGGAAAGAGAAAAAAGATTTGAGAGAAAGAAAGAGAAAGAAAGAGAGAAAGAAAGGAAAGGAAAGGAAAGGAAAAGGAGAAAGAAAGAAAGAAAGAAAAAGAAAAAGAAAAGAAAAGAAAAAAGAGAAAGAAAAGAAAAGGAGAAAAGAAAGAAAAGAAAGGAAAGAGAAAGAAAAAGAGAAAGAAAAGAGAAAGAGAAAGAAGAGAAAGGAAAAGAAAGAAAGAAAAAGCGAAAGAAAAAGGGAAAAGAAAAAGAAAGAAAGAAAAAAAAGAAAAGAAAGAAAAAAGAAAAGAGAAAAGAAAAAGAAAAAAAAAAAGTAAAAGAAGAAAGAAAAGAAAAAAAGAAAAAAGAAAAAAGAAAAGAAAAGGCTGTGCTTTCTGGAGGAAAAGGAAAAGACGGAAAGAAAGAAAGAAAGGTGAGAAAGAAAGCCTCCTAAAGGAAAGAGAGAAAGAAAGAGGAGAAAGAAAGAAAGAAAGAAAGAAGAAAGAGGGGAAAGGAAAGAAAGGAGGAAAGAGAGAAGAAAGATTAGAAAGAATTTAAGGAAAGAAAGAAAGAAAGAAAGAAAGAAAAGAAAGAAAGAAGAAAAGAAAAAGAAAAATAAAAAGAAAGGAAAGAAAGAAAAGAAGAAAAGAAGAGAAAGAGAAAGAAGAGCTAAGATAGAAAGGAAAAGGAGAAAGAAAAGAAAGAGAGAAAGAAAGAAAAGAAAAGAAAAAAGAAAAGAAAAGAAAAGAAAGAAAAGAAAAAAGAAAGAGAGAGAAAAAGAAAAAAAGAAAAGAAAGAAAAGAAAGAAAAGGAAAGAAAGAAAGGGAAAAGAAAGAAAGGAGAAAGGAAAGGAAAAAAGAAAAGAAAAGGAAAGAAGCGAAAGAAAAAGAAAAAAGAAAAAAGAAAGAAAGAAAAGAAAGGCTGTGCTCTGGGGAAAAGGAAAGAAAAGAAAGAAAGAAAGGGGGAGAAAAGGAAAGAAAAAGAAAGAGAGGAAAGAAAGAAAAGGGAAAGGAAGGGGGAAAGGAGGAAAAGAAAGAAAAGAAAAGGAAGGAAAGAAAGAAAGAAAGGGGGGGAAAAAGAAAGAAAGAAAGAGAAAAGATAAAGAAAGAAAGAAAGAAGAAAGAGAAAAGAAAGAAAGAAAGAAAGAAAAGGGAAAGAAAGAAGAAAGAAAGGGAAAAGATAGATAAGAAAGAAAGAAAGAAAAAGGAAAAGAAAGAAAAGTAAAAGAAAAGAAGAAAGATAAAAGAAGAAAGAAAGAAAGAAAGAAAAAGAAAGAAAGAAATGAAAAGAAGAGAGAAAAAAGAAAGAAAAAAGAAAGAAATAAAGAAAGGAAAGGAAAGAAAGAAAGAGGAGAAGGAAAGAAAGTGAAAGAAAGAATAAAAGGAAAGAAAGAAAAGGAAAGAAAGAAAAGGAAGGAAGAATTGAAAAGGTAAGGAAAGAAAGAAAAGGGAAAGAAAGAAAAGGAAGAAAGAAGAAGAAAGAAAGGAAAGAAAGAATGGAAGGAAATAAAGAAAGAAAGAAAGGAAAGAAAGAAAGAAAGAAAGAAAGGAAAGAAAAGAAAAATGAAAAGAAAAAGAAAAGGAAAGAAAGAAAAAAGGAAAGTATCGCGCGTCGTGTGCTCTGGGGAAAAGGAAAGAAAGAAAAGAAGAAAGAATAAGGAAAGAAAGAAAGGAAAAGAAAGGAAAGAAAGAAGGGGAAAGAATGAAGGGGAAAGAAAGAAAGAAGGGAAAGAAAGAAAGAAAAAGGAAAGAAAGAAAGAAAAGGGAAAGAAAGAAGGGACAGAAAGAAGGAATGGAAGGAAGGAAAGAAGGAAGGAAGGAACGGAAACCGGAAAGAAAAGTAAAGAAAAAAAGAAAGTAAAAGGAAAAAGGAAAAGAAAGAAAGAAAGAGAAAGAAAAAATAAAAAGAGAAGAAAGAGTAAAGAAAAGGAAAGAAAGAAAGAAGAGTTTAAAGGAAAAGGAAAGAAAAAAAAGAAAGAAAGAAAGGAAAGAAAGAAAGAAAAGAAAGAAAAAAAAGGAAGGGAAAGAAAATGAAAGAAAGAAAAGAAAAAAGTAAAAAAAGGAAAGAAAAAAAAAGAAAAGATAAAAAAGAAAGAAAAAAAAGAAGAGAGAAAAAAAGGAAAGGAAAGAAAGAAAGGAAAGGGAAAGAAAGAAGAAGAAAGAAAAGAAAAGATGAAAAAGAAAGAAAAGAAAGGAAAAGGAAAGAAAAAGGAAAGAAAGAAAAGGAAAGAAAAAAGGAAAGAAAGAAAAGGAAAGGAAAAGGAAAGAAAAAAAAGAAAAGGGAAAAGGAAAAGAAAAAAAGAAAGAACAGAAAAGAAATGAAAGTAATAAAGAAAGAAGAAAGAAAAGGCTGTGCTATGGGAAAGAAAGGAAAGAAAGAAAGAAAGATTAAGAAAGAAAGAAAGAGAAAAGAAAAAGAAAAGAAGGGGAAAGAAAGAAGGGAAAGAAAAGAAAAGGAAAGAGGAGAAAGAAAAGGGAGGTGGAAAGAAAGAAAGAAGGGAAAGAAAGAAAGGAAAGAAAGGAAGGAAGGAAGGAAGGAAGGAAGGAAAGGAAAGAAAAGAAAGAAAAAAAATAAAAGTAAAGGAAAAGAAAGTAAAAAAAGTAAAGGAAAAGAAAAAGAAAAAAAAAAGTAAAGGAAAAGGAAAGAAAAAAAGAGTAAAGAAAAGGAAAGGAAAGAAAAAAAGAAAGAAAAGAAAAAAAGAAAGAAAAAAGAAAAAGAAAAGAAAGAAGGAAAGAAAAAAAAAAAAGAAAAGGAAAAA